AAATGATAGCATTGCTGCTACCCATTCTCTTGGAGACTTCTGCTGCTCCATTCCAGTCCTTTTTGTCTATAAAAATGTCAAAAATGTATTGGCACTTCATAATATGATTTTGGTCTTTTCCACCAGATGGATATTCATGTATTATCTTATGGGTTTTAAAGTTCTCTGACCTGTTCCTGAGGGAGAGACGACTTGTGCATGTTGGTGAAATGTTGCTTCCTCATTTCCACCGAATCAATCAATGATTTAATTTTCTAAGAAGGCCATCTTAAAACTTAGCTTAGTACAGCAGCTTAGTACACCAAGCATTTCCATGCAGTATCCTGAAACACTGGCTATTATAAATAAAGTACTGTGATCTTAATTAGGAGTGAGATATCTGTGTTTGCTGTATTAGGTATTTCTACAGAGAAAGAGGAAAAGATCTTGAATTGGATTGTAAAAATCTCACCATAGCTGTCAAAACAGGAACTGACATGAACCAAATAGTTCACTAAGTCTGGATTCATTTCTAGTGCCAAGTTGCCTTTTTTTGTGGCTACCTTCTTCTGCAGTGCAAAACCATGAGGCATGAATTGGAAAAGAAATGTCTCCTGAACACAACACTAGACTGAAGGTATTACAATTACAGTATGTGGGGAGTCAGCCATTCATCTAGAGAGCAAAGGATACTGGCAGAGAGAGCAGGGGTAGCTGGGAAATCTGGCTTGAACTCTTCAGAACATGTGACTTACTGGAAACTACCCATTATGAATGAATATGTGATCTTTCAGGTGGGTCTTCCTTTTGTCTCTTCACAGAGTGACAGTGGTGAGAAGCGCCTTTCAGCTGGGAGGGCAGCGTATGTTTTTTTTCCTGCAGATTTCAGCACTGGTATTTCTGCCATCAGCTACAGCTTTTTGAATGCAAATAACCAACCTCGTCTTCCATCAAATAGCTACTTTGTGAGAAGCAGGATTACTCTAATTAATGCCAATATGGGTCAGGATCACTTCCAAGAGCACCAAGCCCAGATATTTGCTGCTGCTGCTAACACCAGCAGTCTCTAAATCAGCACTCACAAAGCTACAGGCTGCAATTGCAACCCAAATGTGAGGCAACCAGCTTAAAACTACAAAATGTTTCCTAACTTCTCAAGCAGCTTGGGATGGTACTGACATGGGCTCACATCTGTATGAATCAAACTGTGACTGCAAGAAGCTACGAAGAGAAGCCTTTACTGCAGTGCAGTTGTTCTGTGTGCACTGAGGATGATTGGCCATGGGCAACAAGATCAGATGGCTCTAAAAAGGAAGTTATGTCAAGTCCTAATCACTGGAAGCAAGAGATCTGACTGAAATACACTGGAGAGACACGAAAGGCAAGTGGATTTGCTGTGCTTCTGCTTTGATCAGATCATTTTGGTGATAGCCACTGGTACACACAAGGATCCAAAAAGCTTTTTGTTTAACTCTGGTGCAAGGAATTGTAAGCAGCAATACAAGATAAATATTTAAAAATAAACACAAGGTCTTCTTCCCAGCCTGCACAGGGTTATGGTCTAAGATTTTGCAGGAACATATGATTGTGCAGTGCCCAACATAGCAGCATGATACGACTGGAGCTGCACTAGTTATATGTACTAACCTTCTCCTCCTCTTATCATCACCCACTTTCCACGGACGTGCCACTGATGTAACTCAAGACTTTCCTGAGAGTCATGAGAGATGGAAAACAACAAGAAAAGACTGCCTACTTGGAAATGAAATTCATCCTCAGACAGGTGCAGGGAAGACTGGGAAGTTTACAGGCTCCCTGGGGTGTGTCAGAAGGTAAAGTGGAGGATAAGGAAGGCTTTTCAGAGCTTTCTGCCAGCACCCAGCACCTTGGCAAAACATACTCACTAAGGATTCCAAAAAACTAAAAATGGCTAGGAAGGGGAGCTACCAAAGACCATACACCAGCTTTACTATGAATTCAACCACCCCCCAAAAATTCTCAGCTCACTATTTAAACAACGTCATTAAAGTTTATGAAGACAGACTCTTTTCTGAACAAGGACTACTGAAATTGGCACTGTGGGCTTCTGTGTGATGTGTGTCAATGGCTCCAGATCCAACTTGTTCAATCTACAATGAAAGACACTTGCTTTCTAATTCCCAGCTTTGTGGTTGAAGCTGGAGAGCTTTCCAGTTTATGTTGATCTTGATTTTTAATTTTAATGTAAAGGCTCTTCAGAACCTTATTAGAACCATAATCGTACAAGCTATTCTTCAGCAAGATAGACATAAATACCAGATTAGATGGTAGTAAACAGTTCTCTAAATCCTGCTTCAAAAGAAACAGAATCTAGTTTCTTTAAAGCTCTGCTGATTTTATAAGGCTTAATGGCAGCACAAAAAGTGGTAAAGCCTATTTGTCACTAAACTGATTTGGCTCTGAATACACACAAGGAATAGATCAGCTAAGGTGTCACTCCTGTAGGCATTTAGGTTACAGCTGCATTTTATATGTAAAGATTTAAATTTTTACAAGGTAAATTTAATCTTACAAACAAACTTCACGGACAACAGTTTAGTCTTTCTGACAACAGCAATGCCCATTCCCCTGCTGAGATAGGTGGAAACATAAAATATTCCACCCCAACGTGCATCTCAACTTTAATACGAGCCAAATTATTTTCTTCTATTGTGAAATAGAAGAACTGCTGGCAGCAGTTTTCTAGTTTGCACAGGTAGGGTTGGTACAGCAGCTGTTACGCTGTTTGGATGTTGGCAGCTCCTATGACACACCTTGTCTGTTCCAACATTAACTTGTTTTTCAATGCCAATGGCTGTAAGCAAATCACTTCTGAGACTGATGATCACTGCTAGCAGAAGACGAGATAACATTTAAAGGACTAGACAAATTTGTCTTGCTGTTAATTACAACATTCAGTGGTTTAGAGTGGGTGAAAAGATATTCCTCATTCCCACCAGAGCTTTCACATGGCTGAGCCTCTGATTGGCTCTTCTTGCTCCAGTGTTAAGTCTTTTTGCTAAAATGACATTCTGTGCTCACTCTCAGAATACAGAACAATGTGGAGGCCAAAACCCCCACAGAATACAGTTTTATAGTTTTTCATGCACTATTTGCTATTACTGGATGAACATTTTGTCAGCTTCAAGGGGGGTTTCTGATCCTCAGAATCACAGAGGACAACTTGCCAAAAATAGGCTAAGTGCTTGCATCATTCCCTTTCACTCCCCTGTCTAAATCATGGGTTCCTGCACACGGAACAGCTCTTCACTCATATGAGAGGGTGGAATTCAGCATTGTGCAGTCACTACTGCTTATGTTGTTGGTGACTACACCAACAGGAATGTGATTTAAAGGAAGCAGCTCCATTAAACCCCTACAAGCCATCCTTTCTCTTCTCCCTCCCTCTCTCTGTGATCTGTCTATGCCGTAGCTGCCACAAAACAGTCTCCCTGATGGCCTTCACCTCGTCCTCTTTGTCCCCTGCTGGATTGCTGCTGACATTATGACAGCTGGAGGGCCTGCATGAACTGTGAGTGAGCAGTGATGCTCTCTGCCTAAAGGATGCAGAGTACTGGCTGGTGATTTCTATAGCTCAATTAACTTGCAAGCAATCAGCAGAACCGGCATTTTAGTATTTTTGTATGATGTGAATGCCAGATCCAGGCAAGAAACAAAGCGCTGAGGAAGAAGAGGGAATGACTGCCTGATGCCTTCAAGAAGCTGAAGGTTTCCCTACAACTTAAATGAGTCACGAGGAGATCAGAAAAGTCAAGTAAGAAATCAAACAAGCTCCTTTCAGAGCAAAGGAAAAACTTCCACCAGCAAGGCTGCAACTTAAGGAAAAGAGACCATCTGAAATACAGGAAACAGTCCAAATTCTGCCTCAGTAACACATGCATAAACCTAATACCATCTCCACCATGACAACTTCCCTTTGTGGTTACAGAACTCCACAACAACTCCAGAACTACCTTCTTCAGTTTACGAAGAGGTGGTGTGGCAGTTGCAGTAGTAGCTCAGTGACCACTTCCTCAACATTTTGTCTTCCCTTTCACAGAGATATCTGAATTCAACCTTGGTACCAGAATGGAAATCTAAAGAGAACAGAGTTCTCTCGTACAGAATCTGCACAAGATATAAGACAAAAACTTCTCTCATAGCATGTGGGTATTTCCCCTATTGTATTTGGAGGAGTGAGTAGGGGCATAGGTAATGAAAGAAAGAACCCAGTACACGTGTATTCACGGGGGAAGGAAACCTAGGGGCAAATTAACCAAAATTCACATAACCTCAAGCAAGTTGAGCTGCAAGTTTTTCAGGAAACTTTTTATCTTATACCTAGCAAAATTCCAAATCTTCAGTAGGGTCACTACTCTTCCAGCGAGAGACATAACATTATTGCCCGAGATCAGAGTGGAACTATGACAATTTACACTAGCTAAGTGTCTGCCAGATAATATGCAGTGTGTCTTATGGAGGATTTAAAAGGGTCACGCCCCAAGGATATCTGGGGAAGAAGGGGTTGGATGCAAAATAGATTAAATAATGTCGCGTTCCTGTCTCAATAAATAGCAGGAAACCAAGGGAGACAGCAGGTAGCAGGGCAGCATTCAGCTTCACTGCAAAAAAGGGACTCAAGAACCATGAATCTACAGCAGCAAGTAAAGAAAAGAGGAAAAAAAATCAGGAAAGAAAAGAAAATCACTGGCCTGGGTTACAGTGAGGGAGGGAATCTCATGTTTGTGCTATGAAGGGGAAAGCTGTGGTGGAGCCTGTGCATCTGTGCATGGATGGGGAGGAACAGAAAAAGGGGTATATGCTTGTGTCCTCCAGGTGAATGAAAGACATAGTGGGCTGTTACAGTGTAGGCAGTCTTGAAAAGAGCGAGGGAGAGCAGGGATAGGGAAGGGGAAGAGGTGGAAGGGACAGGACGGCGCATTATTACGTTGCTCAGCAGGGGCTGGGGAAGGTGAAAAGGCAGAAGGGAAGGAAGTTCTTACCACATTTGGAAAGTCTGCCAGTCATCAACTCCATACAGTTAGTGGTGTCTGGATCATAGAACGGAAAGAGGAGGGAGGGAGGAAAAACATAAAAAAAGGTTTCCACACCTCTGTGCATAAAGTAGTAACTTAGCACATTATTATCTGAAGCAGGAAACACATACACATCTTGGTCTTTTCACAACCCAGGCCAAATTCTGCCACCCACTATATGCCAGTGTAAATCTGGCCCTGTGACTGAGAGTGGATGCTGCTTAAATACTGCTGCCTCCACTTACCCCTCTATCATAGCTACAGGTATCTATGAAATGTGGGAAATATTCTGCCACCACATTAACAAACTAGAAGCCTTGAATACAGTGCTTCACCTGGCTGGCTTTGCAAGTTAGCCTGCAACAGCCAGGAAATGTTCAATCAGCTGATATATCTACATAAAAAAAAACTGGAGAGAGGGAAGAAATACAGCACTATGCTATTGTACATGGAGTGAGGTTACTTGTACAGCTCAAAAACATCTTTTAGACCCCAAAGGATAACGTCAAAGTTCCAACCTAACTCTGTGTCTCTTATTCAAGTCTCTTATTCCTCTTGTTTTCAAAGGCAGTAGAAATACTTCTGGAAAGGGTGGCAGAGTCTGGCTCGAAGACACTACTGTCCACTTTGTGTATAGCTGCCATTACCACAGCCTCTGGGTGCTTCCTACTGGGGTGTGATAATCAGAAGGAGCTCTACATGTCAGCTTTAAAACTGAAAGGACCAGCCCAGCTGGACACTCCCACGTGGAACCTGTTGGCAAGCCAGATCTGCTGCTGTCAGCCAGGACTCCCTTGCATTTGGTATCTAAATCATCGTGTTCATGGGCAATTCACTGCTGAGCAAGTGGCTACCAGTTATAGCACTAAGCTTAGTCTCAGATCTCCTCTTGCCTGGGCTCCCGATGAACACTTGGGTATTCAAGAAATACCCTTCTCAGAAACATGCACATATATGCTGAAAATCCATAACTGCCAGGAAGCTCTAACAACTCCCTGTTTGCTATAAAGTCTGTGGTACAGAGGGAAAGATAATTTCTCAGCATTCCTCCCCTTAAATATTGAGAAAAGTCATTTCCTAAGAGGGGGAAGGGGTGCTGGATATGCTTGGGTAAGATGAACTCATGCTAGAAGAGCATCTTTTCTGATGCAACCAGGCCTGTACTCCATGGATCATTTAGAAAATCATGGAGCAGAGAGGGCAGGTGCTTGGTCCAGTGACACTGGTCAAAGCATCTAAGCAGCAGGTATATGCTCTCCATCCCCAAGGCTAAAGGTGGGCTGGCAGAGGTCAGTGGGAGATGATACCCATGGAAGTTCTCTCAGGAAGGCACAAGATTGAGAGAAAGAGAAAGAGGGAAAAGGGTGGAGGTGAAGGAGAAGAGAGCATTCAAGAACTGGAACAATATATCAGAGGTGTCGGAGAGGCTAGGAGTTTACCTGCCTTTGAAATTCTTTGGCTAATCTGGCAGAATGAAGACAAACTAATCTCCCAAATTACGTTTCTCCCCGAAGAAATAGATTTGAGAAGTGCCTACAGTTGCTGATTGGGTCAGTGACCGAAGTCACGCTCATGGGTTTGGATAACTTTTTTTTACTTTAATAACTTGAAGAAGTTTGTTGTCTCTGGTCTTTCAGTGGTTCCTGTCCAGCCCCCTCAGAGTCAACTACACTTTGCTGTAACGTAGTGTGATGCAGATCTATAGTGGCAGAGCACAGAGAATTCACCCAATCATTAGCAGAACTTAGCTTTGAAAGAACACGTAAGAGCAAAGAAAGTCTCAAATATGGCCAAAAGACTGTTTCTGACTCCACCCTCCATCACCTGTAATTTTCCCCTCAAATGTATCCACACTAACCAGTAACTAGCAGTCTGGAAATAAAAAAAAAGTCACAGAAGGTAAACATTGTGTCTGGTTACTAAGAGTCACCTGAAACTGGTATTTCTCTTTTGTTCTTAATTTTAACAAATTAAAAAATAATTATGCCTTCTTAAGTTAATACTGCCTTTTTTTCCTCAGTCATTTGTAGTCGGCATAGCTGACTTTAGTATTTAAAGCTAACTGTGTAACAGGTCTACACACATTCACTGTGTGATCAGAATACAAGCTGACAGATCTACACAGGAAAAAAGGATTCCAACATGCTTTCTGGCAGCATAACATCTTGGGCTCTGTACCCCATTTTATTCCTAAAAAGGTAAATTTGCGTGGTATGGTATTAGTTTTGATGGATAGGGAATTTTTTTTTAAAATATGAGACCATGGAAAAAACAAAGGAACACTAATGAAACCTCTAACTTGTCTTTCTTAAAACTTTAATGTAAAAATATAATTTGCATTCTCTGTATTGCCATGGCTAGTCCCAGGAACTGCATAGGAAATAATTTTTATTTGTAATGTCTTTCCAAGACGTGATCAAATTGTTTTTTCCCCAATTCCTAAGGCATAGTCAGCATGAGCACACCAGGACCAGCAGCTCATATTGCATTACTTAAAAGACTAACAGTGTTAATATGCCTTCAGCTTCTCTTTTAAAATAATTACTTTAATACTTCTTTCATTTCCATCACATTGTAACATCTGCTTTAGTAAATACTCTATATGAGAAAGTATTCCATCATTTTAAAGTAGAATTTTCATTCTAATTAGAAAGTCTTAGATTCTTGGCAGTCATTTCTGCTCACAGATACTAATCCACAGTCCAGTGACTGGGGAATCCAGGTGTCATGTGAAAGGAATAAAGCCAGGGTTCAAGGGCTTTTAACTGTCTGAGAAGCATTGATGGGTCATGTAACTGCATTTTTAATGTGTCCTGTTTAATTTTTTAATTAAAACATAGTAGCAGTGTCAGATCTCAATCCTGATGATGATAAGGCAATTCCTTATTTCATAGAAATTGCTGGCAGTCCCTCACACTTTGGATTTGACCAAGAATCTTTTATAAATGGCATCCAGTTCAGTTCATTAACAGATGGCAAATATTTTGTTTAAAATAAGGCCTTCCTTCAAAAGGCCAAACAAGTTCCGAATTCATTAAAAATTGCTAGTGTTCTGTTGAATTTTCTGTCACAATTTTCTTTATTCTTTAATGTCTCCATTTCTATCCTACTCAAATTTCATAATGAAGCTGCTTAGTCTGTGATGCTTCTGATGTCTCTGAGTCTGAGACTTGTCCTAGCCCAGGAAATCTCACCCAAACAGCTGCTCCTCTGAGATCTCCAAATCCAGGGCTAGATCCCAGAAATCACTGAACAGCTCCTGCCAGATGCTCATAGTCCCCAATAAACAGGGAGGGAGATGATGTCAAGGGAGCCACCAGTTCCTCTGGTCCGAGGCAGTTATCATTCAGATTTAAATTCCCCAGTGTTAGTGTGCTTATTTGAAATTCCCTGTTCTCCTATCAAAACCTTGGAGAGCCTGGACTTTTTTCTACATGCTTGATTTCAGAACTACCTGTAAGTATTTCAGATAATTTTAACGAAGGCTGTTCAGTAATAATACTAAGGCTGTTCAGCCAAAAACCAGGGCTCTGCCAATCCAACCAGGCATTAGAGGGCACCTTTTGTAGGTGGGAACCACGATAGCAAGATGATGTAATTAGTCCAGACACTACAAGAGTGGTAAGACAAAAAGGGTCACACAAGATTGCAGGAAACAAGAGAAACCTGGGACCTGGAAGAGCCCCAGAAAAACTGAATTGTGATCCAGTTTCAAATTGGCATTTGCAGAGTCCTTGTTTTGAGTTTGCAGCTGAAAATTTACCTTGCAAAGCTCCTTATTTGCTCCTTATTCCCTTTTAAGTCTTGATGATAAAATCCTTTGCACATTTGGAAACTGAGTTTGTTATTAATTTTTTTACAGCACTTTAGCCTACAGCTCTTGTGAGCCATAAAATATCAAGAAATCACAAATCAGTGTTCTATCAAGAATTTGCACTGCTCTATTTTGAAGCTAGATATGGTCTCTAAGCACTTGTTTATGCTGATTAAAGGCACTTCCAGCAGTAACACTGAGACGCTCTGAACTTTGAGATGTCAATGGTTAAAATTTGATATGAAGACAAAAATATAACAAGAGAAAACCTTTCCCAAAGAAGTTATAAAGGTTATTTCAGTATTGCTGTTTGCCCAGAACATGGGAAAATGGGAACAAATAAGAATATGTAGCACCCCACACTTAAAATCAAAGCTCAAAGAAACAAGAAAATATCAGGGAAATAAAAACTGATACCCTGTGAATGATCACAGATGGCTTTTGCATGTCCCTATTCACCAGCTGTTACTATTACTCTTTTGTGCAAAGGCTTCAGAAAAAACAGATTATGATTTAATGGAAAGAGTGTTGGGCTGAAACAAAGGCACAAATCTGAGATATCTTCCTCCATGGAGAGAGATCTTTTTATCCCAGCAAGGGGCAGTTTGATCAGGGATTACCTAAGTAGAGATTCTGAGTATAAGGCTCCTGGATGGAGCTACACATGGATGAGAGATGAGGCTGACTGCTCCCATAGACAGACTCATTCGTGATGCAAAAGGGACTGTCCTTTCGTGGTCTTGCTGGGCTTAGTGGCTTTTGATACCAGTAACAAGTACACAAGGGCAACTATTCCGGTTCAGACCAAAGACCAAAACCATCCAGTGCTCCGTCTCCATCAGCAGCCACAAAGACACACAGGAGTGTAAGAGGAGGCAAAGCAGACACTTCCTAACGCTGCCTGACTTGACTACCAGGTCAGAGATTTTCTGAGCCTGCTGTGGTTTCTCTGTTGAGCAATCCTATAAAGGTTTTTTCAAGCCAGAGAGTTCTCCAGCCTCCCTGTGAGTAAGAAGTACTCAGGGGAAGATGAGCATCTGCAAGCTCCTCACATGCAGAACCTGCTTGAGAGAAGAGTTCCACAGGTCTCAGATTATGTGAAGAGATGCTTTCCAATATTTTTTTTGGTACTTGGCTTCCACTACTTTCATATGATGGTCTCTAGTTCTTTCATTGGGAAGAAAAAATTAACAACTGATCCCTAGTTACTTGTAACTCATACTAGTCATGAGTTGTAGACCTGGTACTGTCTCAGCAATCATAGTACAGAGGTCCTGAAAGCTTAGGTTAGAAAGTTGATATGTTGCATTAAATTCGGCCAACTAAGCGGTGGCTTTTAGAAGTACTACATAAACTTTTGGAATGGATTTCATTTATTTACACATTTATTCAGGTAAGGGAGGGAATCTTATTTTCCTGCTTCAGAGAATGCCAGAAGAAATATGCACAGCCAGTCTTAGAAAGGAAAAATGGAAGTGAATGAAGGGATATATGGAGGAAGGGAGATTATCAGGTGCTCAAGCATGACACAGAAACACATCTGCCTAGATCAGGTACATAACAGGCTCACATACACACACACACACAGATGCATGGGCAACATGACATCTACAAACACTGTTGTGAGCCGGAGGAAATGAAAAAGAGGGAATTGCATTCTGAAACCCAGGCAAGCCGGCTCAGTGGGCTGGCATACTGCATAGCAGATCAAAGAGGGGCAGGAGAGAGAATGACTGTCAGTGCCATAGGCTTACTAGGCCTTGCTGTTCTGCTTTATACTGAGTTCACTGAATCTTCCACTTTTGCAGGTCTCACTTTACAGGCATGCACCTTTCACAGCTGGTTCTCATCATCCCACCTGTAATGGCATCTGAACTAATAGGTAGGAGAAACAACCACTAAGAGGAGATGTCTGTGCACAATGAGCTGGGAAAATATCCAGTGCTGGACAGTATTGCTGGTCAGAGACAGCAAGACGCTCAGAGCCACAGAGGAGGAGAGTCCAAGTGAACTGTGAGCTCCTCCTGTTGCAGCGGTGGACTGCCTACAGAGTATCCTCAAACTGTGAACCTCAACAGGAGCCCAACCACCCCAATTTCTGTGAACTGTTCAGAGCTTGGCATATGGGAGGGTAAGAGAAACAGAGAAGACTTTCCATTGTTTCTAGTGAGAAAAGCTGATTAATTCCATGACAATTTCTAGGAAATTCTTGCACACATCTTTCCAGCTATAGACACCCAGCTAAGCAAGGTGCTGAATGTGAACTCTGCTGTCCTTTATCCCTTTACTTCTCCTTACTCCTACTGACTGGGGATGTGAACCACGGGGCCTCTTTACTTTGATGCATGGGTTGTCTCTTTTTGGTAACAATCCTTTTATTTCCCCTCCCTTCCTTTTCTCTTTTCCTTGTACTCTGCTCCAATCTAAAATTTTCAGGTTGACTTCTCTCATTTTCAAGAGACTTGCATATTCCTGACCAGGTCAGGGGATACGGTACGGAACGGTTTGGCACCCTGTCTCGTGAGCTGTTTTGCCTGGTTAACTCCCCAGCCAAGGGAATTCTCATTTTTAAATTAAAAAAAAAAACAAACCAAAACACACTTAAATTTTGGGTTTGCTCCATGTGGAGTTACCTATTGCACTCTGGCATTAGACATCAGGCTAGGTTTTACCTGCTAGAACAACATATTCTCATGTTGCTTTCAGCAGTAGAAATCATGATTTTTCCATTCCAGAACCAGAGCAAAACTGTAAGTCAGATACATTTCTCACAGCACAGTTTGTCCATAACATCTCCCTGAACTTTAGTCAGTTGAATGGGTTTTATTCCCGCTATAATATGACTTTCTCAGGGAGATATCCTGCTTCACATGCCAAGTGTGCAAGAGGGTTCAAGTCTTTCTAGAGAGCCTCAGTAGCTAGGACATATTAGGGTGAAGAAGTTAAGGGAGATCATCAAGTTATTTACTTTTTAAACAATTTTTTCCTCACAGGAAAGTAAGGGTACACTTCCTTCCCTAAGGAATAAGGAATGCTTGAATACTGTTCACACATCAGGAGTAACATGAAATACACTTACAAGATGCTTTTCTATCTAATTCTCCTCACCCTCACTTAACCCTACCATTTCCCAAGAGGAGGGGCTGGCAGAAAATTCTAGCTGCTTCCCTAAGTTTGATTTAATTTCTAAAGTTCAGACAGCAAAAACCTCAATCAACTGTAGTTGTAGTGTCCTCATCTTCCCTGTTTCTGAACGGAATAACCCATGTGCTGGGCATCATTGCAATCCAGCATGCAGAAGGTCAGGCAGTGCTGGAGGCCAAAAGCAAAGTGGACACTAAACTGAGCATACTTTTCTGTCAGGTACTAAGCACACACACTTCTAGATGGAGTTATTTTATCTTCAGCTGCCAAAGCCACACTGTTAGACCAGAAGGATGTAACCCATATGTGCAATGAGCCAAGGACATCTGGGATTTAATTGCAGGATGCAATGCCAACCTAACTCCCACACTTTTGCCTTGGCTTGTTCACACAAAGGTCAAGCACAGAATTTGGCTCTAAAGTATAATATTTATTTACTTCCTTTTCATCTCCCACTCCTCCTCACTCTTTCTCTTCTTCCTGCAGCTTCTGCTCTCTACCTTGCTCCTATTTATTCTCTGTATCTGCACATTCTTTCTGCTTCTCCCTATTTTTCCTTCCTTGAAGCACTCCCAATAGCTCATCTGCCTTAAGTTTTCAACTTTCACCTTCTTCTTTGTTCTGTCCTTTTAAAGGACAGAAGAATTAACACTGGTATTTTTTGTGCAAGCACTAGTGTTCAGAGGGAACACTTGCTACATAACGGTGGGATGAAGCCAGTTCTTGTATTATCAATTCAAGCTGCCTGCACATTCAGATTGATGTCACTGCACAGGGTAACACACGTAAGGATTTCTCTACCACCATGAGGAACTGAAATTTACTTTTCAAATTGGTAAAATATAGCTTTTGCAGAACCTTAGCATATAATTTGTGTTACCACAGTATTGGGCCAAGAATTTGATCACACTAATGGAAACTATTAACCACCTTCTGACCATCTCTTAATGGCTAAGTTAAAAGTAGCTCTCAGCATTGTTCTGAGACCCTCTGAAGTTGGAGGTTTCTAAAGCATGCCTGAAGGATTTGAAAATCGGGTATCTTCTAGAGCATGTCCCTATTCTGGGATATTTTGGAGCTGGAGAAAATCTGGAAGGTCTGTTGATGATGCAGCTTTTGATGGAGAAGTGGGCAAATGGCTCTTTGGGCGGGCAGAGGGCAGAAGCTGTTCAACTGGGGAATGCACTGGGAGTATTGGAGTGGGAATGAGAAAGGGAGGAGTAGGGTGGGTGCAGGGAGTTACTGCTCTGTCCGAATGGAGCCCGTTTATTGCTGTGATCAGAGGGATGGTCTCCCTCAGCCTCCTGGTACCGAGAGGCATTTCACCTTCCTGTCCCTGCTGAAGCAAGGTGCTCAACAGTAGAAACTACTTACCTGATAACTGCTGCACTGAAGGCTGGTCATGTGTGCTTAACAACTGTGCCTGAATGGTTTCTACTACCCTCTTAAAGCGACGGCTTGGACCTGTGAGGAGAGAAGAGGCACAAATGGCTGTGAGAAGAATGGGAGCAAAGTCAGTATACAACCCAAGCTGGAGGGGAAATATCACAAGTATCTCCCCTTCAGTCTTGTCCCCAAGAGTGTACTGACAGTGCCTCTGTCCTTCAGCCAAAGGGACTGTGGTGTGCTGGACTCAGCAGGAGGAAGAATGGCTTCTGGGCTCCTTTTGTGAAGACATAAAAGGTGTGTGTGGGGGGGTTGTTTGTTTTAAACCCTGGGGGGAACGTGTGGCCACCCAGAAGAAAAGGGTGAGTGAATATTTCTGTCAGAAGGAAGAAACTAGTGGCCTCACAATGCCCAGCTGAGACTCAGACTTTTGAGTGAAACACAGAGACAGTATCATGACATATTCAAGATCTGATGCACAGAGCAGCCATTTTAGCACTAATCGTGGCAGTGGTAACTTCACCTCTTTGGGAATCTCTTTCCCTCCCTGCCACTTCCATCGCTACCAACACTATTTTTGTTCCAAATGTCCTCCTTTCCCCGTCTGAATTTTCCCCCTGAGGCTAAGACAATTATATTCTTTCCTCTGACAGAGCAATTTGCAGGCCTCTATTATCAGCAAGGACAAAGCCAGCTTACACCCATTTTAGAGCTTTGCCACGGTTACCTGATAAGAGTGTGAAAGTGACAGAATAGATCCCGTTCTCTTTTTGTGCCTCTCCCCCTTCTGTGTATGTTATGTCCACCTGGAACTTCACTGGCTTCTGGAAGACAGCAGGACCTCCCGTGGACTTATATTCTGCACGGAAACTTGTCTGTGAGATGACACTGTGACTGAGACTTGGAATCTGAAACAAGTTGGTAGAAGAAGATAGTAAAACTAGTGCATAAAGTGAAAAAATTGCAAAATTCTTTTTATAACAAC